ACTAGGGATTTGGTTACGATTTGGGGATTTTTGTTCTTGTTAATCTGTTTCTAAAACGGTGGNGTTTAGTCACTCAACGGACATTAACGTCTCTTAAACGGTTAATAATGTTGACTAAATTCATAACTCAAATGGCTCAATTGACTTAAAGTTCGTAATTTATATGAATTATTAGCAAGTTTGTAATTAAATTGGCTCAATCGGTAGAGTTCATATTTAAAATGGTCATTCTCTCCATAAACAAATCATGAGGTTTAATAGGTGTAATAAGAAACTTACAGCTGTCCTACGCAAAATAATACTTAATCGGAGAGGTTCTTTTGCTAAATCAATCACCCGACATTGTTATGGTTGTCCAAATTCTCAATAGATGTTTCTACATGATCACGTGCCTAACGTGTTTCAATAATTCAAGTAATCAAAGACTCCGTATCATCTGCGGATACTAGATGATATCCCGTATCATATGCGGATTTAAATACACTAGATTTATATCTTGGGTAACGTGCGCAAGATTTTATTTTAAAAAACTATAATAATAATAATGCAAATCGTTTTATTAAGTGATACTAGATAAACATACATCCGTGGATACGCACGAGATTGTTCTCATAAACATATTTTGATAGTATTTAATCGTATTATACAATTGTGTTGTAACTCATTTAGAAATATAACAAACATAACTGAAAATTTCGGGTGGATATCAAAATAAGTTCACTAATCGAGAGACTTTAATTTGAAGATCATGATATGAAAGAAACAAAAAAAAATAACAAATGAAAAGTAGATATATTGGAAATCATGATGGTATAGTGATTAGAATAACGAACTCACTCTTTGTATTCATGAATTTAAAGTGGGTGATTGTCACATGTAGGTAGATTTAGAGATGACATAATCGATAAGAGATGTTTAGAAGTTCAAGACGATGTAGATATATGGGTCTGCAACAATGGTTTGGCTTACACAAACTTTCAGTAAACCTAATGAGTATGAGCCCGAAGAAAAAGATGAGTGATAGCAGAAGTTATATGACGAAACAAAGAAAGAAAAAACGATTTCATGGTAATATTAAGATTTGCCTTTGCCACTTTTTATCGCTTCTAGTTCTACAAATAACACAAAAATGGCAGATCAAAGATAAATACGTCGTTTTAAAACACAATTCATTGTATTTAAGGTTTCATATTAACTCCTCTGTATCACGATAGATGATTTTTAAGGTTTTATCACACAAATTAAGATTACTTTAAATTCTTTAGTTTTTCCAAATTAAAACATCATTTATCATCCTATTAAATACAATTCAACCAATCGAAAATCAATCTGCAGAATATAAATTGTCAAATTAAATAAAAACACATTTAATTTTGTATTAAAATGTGAGAAAATCATCTAATTTGAAACAAAAAAAGTTCTCTAGAAAATCATCTAATTTAGTACAGGAAGTAATTTGCAAGGCCCACTGATAGAAGAATCAAAGCTAAAGTTTGAAAGATCATATAATAGTCATTTACCGCACAAAATCTTACCTCTTCTACTGTGAGAAGACACATGTATTCTGGGTTCTCAAACCCTGTAATTTACTCCCGGTGGAAGAGTCTAATTCCATTTTCGGGTATCTCTTTGAGATGGGTCGTATTTTCTTCTCTCTCTTGTAGAGTGGTCGAATCCCCGAACATTATGTCGCGAAGACCCTCTTGACGCATCCGAGTCACGATTTGGATTCGCTGTCCATCTACTACCATGATCTATCTACTTTGTGTTTTATCGCATTTCAATTGTGTTGTATTTATGCTGGAAAATGCTTCATTCCCTCTTTTTGTACTCCGATCATTTATTAAAAATCGTGGGCAAGTGTAATTGATCTCATATATTTGAGTAATATACATTTTATGAAAAGAAAAATACTTAGGCTACTACTCTATCTAGGGGTGGAATTATTATCCGGGATGGATCCGATCCGTTATACGTTCGGAATCGCTCAAAAAATTAGGATATCCGGAGAGCCCGGATCCGGATAAGGATAGTAAAATTTAGGATCCGTGAAAAAAGGATCCGGATCCGGATAGCAAAATTTTAAGGTTCGGATATCCGGATACGGACGCATTAAATATATTAAAACCATATATATTATATATCTATTAAACTAATTTTATATAAATAAATATATATAAAAATTGATTTTAGTTTCTTTATAATAAATTATATTTATAATGAAAAATACCATTTAAAATATTAACTAATAATTTTTAAAAATATATTTTTATTTATTTATTAATTATTTTAATTATTTTTAATATTAATTTCGGATCCGAATCCGGATATCCGCGAAAATCTTGATTTTTGGAAAGATTCCTAGAGTCCGGATATCCGAAATCACGATTCCGGATCCGGATAGTTTTTTCACGGATTCGACAATTCCGAATCTGAATTCAGATACTCTGAAATTCCAGAATATCCGGAATCGTCCCACCCTTAACTCTATCTACTACACACAGCTATTTGTGTAGGTCACGTGGATAGATCCCTTTTGCGTATCTGTAGAACTTGTAAACAAAGCGACAAGATAATTTACCTCTTCTTATGCCGACTCTTTTTTTCTCATTTTATTTTATTTTAAAGTTGGAAAAAAAAAAGAAAAAACAAGATTCTCTGTCCGAAGAAGATACAAGCAAGAGCTCCCCTTCTTTTCTTTCTCCTTCTTCTTTGACTTTTTCACTTTCAGGTGCTAATCTCTGAACATTTTAGCTTCTTCTCTTTTGTCTTCAAAAGTTTCTTCTTTATGCTCTTCTTAACTTTTCTTCTCAACTACGCAATTTATTTCTTCTGTTTCTTTGTTTCCCAAATTTCTATTTTTGTTGGGTATTTTTATAGCTTCTTCCTTTTGCTTGAGCCAAAATTGTATTTTTGCCAAATTAATTTTGTTCTTGAAATCTTGATTCTAGTTTATACGAGCTAATCCCTTATCTGTTTTTTTTTTTGAATGGTTTTATGTTTCTCTTTACAGATCTGGTGTGCTATTGATTGAAAGAAAATGGACTACCCGGAATGTTATTATAGATTAACATTTTGTGGAATTTTAGTTGCTTTTCTTGAATTAGCATTTGCTTATTGTCTTTTATGTGTATCAGCTTTGGTCTTCATTGCATCAAAGTTCTTAGTCTATGTACCTTGTCCCTGTTCTGGTATTCGTGAGCACCAAAAACTTCTCTTTGATTGGCCATTCGAAATCATACTCAGAATCCAGAAGATGGCTACTAGTACAAGAACTTGGCATTATCAAAAGCAAGAAAAGATTGAGAATTCGGTTGATAAAGATAAGAATTTGGAGTTGTTGAATAAGGTGAAGTTGTTGGAAGAAGCTGTTGAGGTAGAGAGAGTAGCTAGAGCTGCTTTGATGGTGGAGTTGGAAGAAGAAAGAGCAGCTTCAGCATCAGCAGCTGATGAAGCTATGGCTATGATTCAGAGGTTACAAGCTGATAAAGCTTCACTCGAAATGGAAGGGAAGCAATACGAGAGAATGATCGAGGAGAAATTTGCGTATGATGAAGAAGAGATGAATATTCTCAAGGAGATTCTTTTCAAAAGGGAAAGAGAGAAGCATTTTCTTGAGAAGGAACTTGAAACTTACAAGCACACTGATGACGATGTTGAGGAGGATAGGGAACCTATTGTTTACGATGTTCATGTTAT